CAGCAAAATTGACAGCAGCAAGATGCAGACTCCAGAGGCAAGCACCAGCGCGAACATGTGATACGTCATCACATGACTGTAAATGAAACCAGAATCGGATAAAACCGGGTGGGGTGAAAATCGGGAATCTTTGCGGGGAAACGTAACATAGCGTTTCCATCAACCCTTTTCTTTCTCTCTAGAGAAAGAATCGGGGATTTACTGCGCCACCCTACGGGCAAAAAGTTATATAGGACAAAAACAACTATATCTCTACCAGCTGCCCCCTGCAAGGCTCGAACTTGCGACCTCCAGATTACCCACTGTCCGTGGTCATACTCTAAGTATGAGACTGGCGCTCTAGCCAACTGAGCCAAGGAGGCTTGTGTTGCTTCCGACCTGTCACACTATGTGGCTTTACGTCTTTCTAAATTTCCCTGTGCTTCCATCTGGCCATCATTGATCTACATACTGTATCACTCAATTCAGTTGACCACCTAGGCATTATTGATACTAACATGTCGAAGTGTCTGCTATCCTAGCTGTGCCTCAACCCTCTACCCCATTGGCGTGTAATCTCACGATGGCCGCAAGGTAGCCGATAACTTGTTGTTCCCATGATGTGGAAGCCTGGCCACAAGTTAACCTGCCACGTAAACGGCGCCTTCCTTCCCATGACCATCATGTCCAACTACTTCGACCAGTCTCGGTTCCTACGGAAAGCAACACCTTCCAATTCTACTGCTGTCGATGCCTTCCGGCGGTACATCAATCGTAAACACGACCGACACCTTGGTATGTTCTCTCTAAGTAGCTCTCTCTCCTGACAATGGGGGTAATGGGGGCCACAGAGAACTACCACGACCTGCACGCCTACTCCGTCTCGGACTATGTGTTCTGGATCGACCTGTGGGAGTTTATGCAGGTTATATCTTCGGTTCCGCCTGATCCCAGACAGGTAAGTACTATTTCCAAGTACCTTCCTTCGTTCCTTCCTGACGCGACCGGCACAGGTGACAGCGGAAGGACGTATCCCGGAAGTCCCCATTTGGTTCCCCGGCGCGCGATTAAACTATGCAGAGAACCTTCTCGCTAGGAGAGACGATGGGATTGCTGTGACGACCGGGGGCGAGTCCGGCGTGGTGGCGGATTATAGCTTTCGCACGCTGCGGGAGATGGTTAGAGAGATGGCGGCCGCCCTACGTGTTAATGGGCTTCGCGTCGGGGATAGAGTTGCTGGTAAGTTAGGGTTTTCCGGTGTACCGTTCTGAAGCTCAACTCAAACATTACACAGCGATTGTAAGGAACTCGATAACGGCCATCGTTCTCGCGCTCGCGACTGCGAGCGTGGGAGGGATATTCTCGTCTACGGCTACGGATATGGGAACGCAGGTCATTACATCCCACTCTACCTTCTTCTTCCATGGAGGCTCATGTGAGATCCATACATAAAGGGAATCCTCGACCGATACGAACAAATATCTCCCAAATTTGTGTTCGCAGAAACCGAGGTGCTTTATGCGGGCAAAGTCATAGACCTCGTTCCCAAGGTTCTTGACGTGTTTGCGAAGCTCAAGCATCACGGAATGGAGCACGGGATCGTTCTTCCGAGCGCCATTACGGGTAAGGAACCCACTGCGGTGGCCGGAGGGTAAATGAACGTTTGTCTTGTGAGGTGTGTTACATACTAATGTGTTCATGCAGAATATCACTATCGAGCTTCCTAGCTTCTGGGGACCGTCGGGAACTGGAGTTCGAGCAGCTGCCTTTCAGCCAGCCGCTGTTCATTCTATACAGTTCTGGGACGTCCGGGCCGCCAAAGTGTATCGTTCACTGTGCTGGGGTGAGCATCCCATTAGTTCTTTCCTCTTACCCTCTGACACGATAATTCCCTAGGGAGCGATAATGTCGTGTAAGAAGGACGTTCACTTAGCCTTCGATCTCCGACAGGGCGATACCTTACTTCAATATACTTCCGTACGTATCCTGTTTCTTCCCCGCACGCCATGTACCTTACGCCACATCTCACATTGCAGACGGGGTGGATAATGTGGGTTCTCCACCTCACTACGTTATCCATCGGCTCCAGAGTCATATGCTACGACGGCTCTCCGCTGCATCCGACCCCTCAAAGTTTCCTCAAGTTCATTAGCGACCAGAATGTGACTCTCCTGGGGACGAGTCCGAGGTGGATGACGGAGTTGCAGGGGAGGGGGATTAATCCATGTAAGTATAACCTCCGAGTCAATTCCAACGGGACTGACGCGACATACCTAGTGGAAGTAGCCAAATTTGAGGCTCTACGCGCAATCTTGTGCACCGGCTCGGTCCTGACACCGCCCATGTTTACATGGGCGCACAACGCGTTCGGCGGCGAAAGGGTACACCTGTTGTCTACATCTGGCGGGACGGATATATGCGGTTCTTGTGCGTTCCTTTCCTCCTCCCCTCCCCGCACCCAAATCAATCTCTACGTGCTATAGTTGTAACCGGCTCCCCAAGTCTGCCTTCCTACGCCGGAGGTACGTTCGTCCTCCATTACCACTGTCCTGAATAACTCACTCTCCTGCCGGGTAGAAATCCAAGCCAAGGGACTCGGCATGAAGATCGAGATATTCTCCCCCTCAGGCGAGAATATTGAGGACACGGGCGAGCCGGGGGAGCTCGTGTGCACGCGCGCGCATCCGACCGTGCCGCTGTACTTTTGGGGCGATACCCCCGATGGGAAGAAGCTCAAGGAGACGTATTATAGCACGTTCCCTGGGGTGTGGAGGCAGGGAGATTTTATGGTAAAGAACCGGAGGACGGGGGGGCTTATGATTCTCGGGAGGAGGTAAGTCTATTGTGTGTGTACGCGTGGGATGATAAGAGGCTGAGCAGGGATTGGTGTAGTGACGGCGTGTTAAACCCCTCCGGGGTAAGGTTTGGATCTGCGGAGATCTACACCGCATTGGAGACGTTTACGAGCGTGGTGGAGGATTCGTTGTGTGTCGGACAGCGCAGGAAGGAGGATAGCGATGAGCGGGTTCTGTTGTTCATCAAGATGCGGGAGGGGAATGCGTTCACGAAGGAACTCGTCAAGGATATCAAGCAGACTATTCGGCAGAAGATGAGTCCGAGGCATGTTCCGAGTTTTGTTTTTCGAGGTCGAGGATATACCGGTGAGTCTACTGTTCGCCTCCCGCCTCAGTTCTTATTTGGTTAATCGTTCTTGTGTTTAGTACACCGTGAACGGGAAGAAGATTGAGATTGCGGTGAAACAGATCGTTTCGGGGTCTACGTTGAAGCCCAGTGGTACGGTTGCTAACCCGGAGTCGTTGAAGTTGTACTACAAGTATGCTAACCTTGAGGAGGTGGTGAAGAATGAGAGAACGGCGAAACTGTAATAGATATTTAACATAGACCGTACACAGAGAGCGCTAGAACCACCATATCCAGCTAGGTTGAACCTTGGGCACACAAATTAGTTCCTCCATGACATTCTTCCATCCCGATGGGTCCCAAGACCTTTCAAACTCTTGCTCTGAAAAGCGTTGATGGTTTGCGCGGCAAAGGTATCGCAGTAGATCTACCTCACTAGGGACCTCGCCAAGGAAGAGGGGGACAGAAAAGCTGCATCCAAGCTCGTACTTCTCGGACCTGATGCGCGCGGTGCAATGATACCATTCCGAAGGCGGGATGAGTATGTCGATTGTCCATTTCCGGGTCGGACGAGCAAGTTGGTGGCTACAGAGGCGGCTGGCTCAATGGAGCAGCCGGCCTTCCACGCCCCGCGCAGGGGCAGAGGCAAGGCGTTCCCAATGGCAGTTCGGGGTTGTCCATAGCGGTGTCTCGAGTGCCAGAACGTGGTTTCAGCGTTCCAGAAGGGAGTGAGTGCTGAAGAAGGAGCCTGGGTAAGGGAAGAGCACAGAAATCTTGAGTTACTTACTTGTGTTCTCGTCGACTGGAGCTTTGGCCTTTTGTAGGAAAGGAATCGAAGACTGTTCTGTGACTTACGGTTGAGACTAACGTAACGTCTCAGAGTCTCATAGCAATCACGGAAAATGTGTTCACATCTTGTCATTGTATCATCATGGACTCGAACGTCAAAGGAATCACCCACTAGTATGTTCCCTTTCAACTCGGCTGAAAAGGCCGACCTCGTAGTGCGCTCCTCTGATGGCGTGCACTTCTTCGTCGCCAAATTCTTCCTCACCTACAACTCCGAATTCTTCGCCAATCTCCTCAAGGACTCCGTGCCGAGCAAACGCACGAAGGTCTGCCCATGTTTCTGGCATCAGAGAGTAGCGCTACGATGTGCATCGTCCTCAAGCTGTGCTATCCGTGCCATATTGTTGGCGAGGACCCAGTGGACGTCGATTTCAACGACGTCGTGGCTTGGCAAGCCATCCGCGACGCGCTGCGCAAGTACATAATGGAGGATGCAGAGACGCTTTTCATGGCCTATGTGAAGTCGGGTGCGTCGCGAATGATGAAGACCGATCCGCAGAAATGTTTCGTTCTCGCCCGCCGGGCTGGATTGGATGACGTGGCACGGGCAGCGGCGAAGGAGACGTCGCGCCACCCTTTTCATGATCGCGAGGTGTTCGAGGAGCTTGCGCTGGTCAGCGCCCTCGAGTATCGACGCTTGTTGGACTACTTTCGCTCATGCGGGAATGCAGTCAGCAGAAACTTTCGCCTCTAACTGGCTGCACCGAAGGGAACACAAGCCATTACATTTGTGGTGAATGTAACCTGTCAATGGTGGTCAATGAAACAAGGGCAGCAATGCACATCCGTGGGTCCATGATGCTATCCAGGAGTCGCAGCGAATGGTACGGGAATACCGCAGTGCAGGTTTCCTGGATGAGGAAAGTTGTGATCGTCTGCTTTTGGTCGCAATGAAGTCCTGCACACCCAAACTCCAAAGGGTGTACGCTCTGTTCTGAACGCCATCAACGAGGAAGTAGAGAGATTGGTTTCGCAAGTTGAGTTCGCGTTGTAGCCTCTTCCATTAGAAGTAAAGCGAACGTCCTCCCTATAAATTCCTGTCCAATGGTGTGCCTCATATAGCCAGTTCAAATGAATGCTTGCAAGTTGTTCCGCAGTTATGAGCGATGAAAATAGTTCGAGGGTAAACACGTTAGTACAGTCAAGCACTTCGGAACGGTAGAAGAGGACGTTCCAAAGCTCGTGTGCCACTAAAGCTTCCTCGGCCTCCGAGAGTCTTAGAAGCTATCCGATCTTTGGCTATTCTTTTTGACTTGCCAGATGTCTCTCAAGTTCAACGTTCAACCCAGTGCAACCACTCAAGTACTCATGATACAATGAAGTAAAATACCCAATTATCCTAATGATATTCAAAGATACAACAAAGGATTCTATACATAGTAATTGTACAGTG